TATGACAATAAAATATCTGTAAAAATTCCCCTGTTGCATTGTTAGATATTTGAGCTTAATAACTTTAACAAAGTACTACAATAACAGTCAAAAATATGAATGCTGGTCATTGTTTTAAGAAGTAAGGGGGTACAAATGAAAAAAAAAATTTGAAATTGACAACTTTTTCCATTTCACTGAAACTGGTGTTAAACACTTCTATCTTCCCTTATTTCTTTTATTTTCTCACTGAAACCAAGTAGTGTTCTTTGATATGTCTTTTGTCCTCTCATCCCCATCAAAACGGAATAGTCCATTATTTATGAGGTATTGGCAGAGCGTAATAATATGATGATGATATTGGTTGTGATGATGATGATGCAGTAGTAGTAGTATCAGCAGCAGCTTAGATATTGGTTGTCAGTATTATAAAGAATGTTAGGATTAAAATAAAAAATGGTACATTATTTAAAATATAAACAGGCTTATAATCAATCTGCCATTTGATATATGAAATGAATTTAGAATAAAACAAGATTTTAAAAAAGAAATCATGCAAAAGAAAAAATATTATAAAACTCATAAAAGTTTCACTGAAATGTGTCAGTTATGAAAGATAGAGAGAGAAAAAAAAAGATTTTATAGAATTTCATAAAATACAATTCATGTTTTATAATGAAAAACAGTCTCAGAAAATTCAATGCAATTCTTTTAGAAACCAGATTTTCAAATTATGAAAATCTAGTATTTTTGTAATTGTAAACTCCAATTGCAGACAATAAAGTTTTAAACGATACTATAATTTCCATGTGCTGCTTGTTTGGTTTAATAAGAACATCAAAAACAATAGATTATACTTACACAATAGACCAGATGGAAATTGAGCAGCCATAACTTTAAGTAGTGTGGAACTGAGCCAAATAAATAAGAAAAGATTTCTAAGATGGCTGAAAATATCTATGGAAGCCCAAGAGGAGAGATGGTTTGAACAAGCAGCAAAAAAATTATCTGCTATCTTACATTGGAGTCAAGAAATGTAGACATTTGGATGCCACCATCATTTGCCTTCTTACTGGAAAATGGTTAAATTAGAAGTTCTTTTTGAATATTTTTCTCCGGAAGAATCAATGGTCTAAGAATTAGAAACTCATTAAGTCTATTCCATTTTCCATGGCTCAGGAAATTGGCAAGTTGGGTAGCAAGTTGAAACTGGCATGGAAAATGCAAAATTTGGCTTCAAGGTAGAAATGTCATGGTAACCACTGGACCTTATTGACTATAGTTCCAAAATGCAAAATTTTTCTTATTCTAATAATAATTACTTGTAACTAAGGTGGGAAGAGTTTGCATTTTCAGAATCCAAAAATTTCAATGAAACAGAAGCTAATCTAAATATATAGATGGTAAATTCTGTCTTGGGCCACATTTGCTATACAGACATATTTTACCATTTTGGAATCAGGATGATTCCAGGATTGAAAATCTGCCTTTCATCTGGTGCTTGAACATCCTGCATTGGGATTTGTGTCTGGATGAGGAGGGGACAGTTAAAAATTCAAATTTTAAAATAACCGAAAAAAATGAGTGATTTTAAGTTTTTAATTTATATTGAGTTTAAAGTAACATAAAAATTGTGAATTTAAATTTTTTTTTGTTTTAAATTAATTTTAAAATATCCCCCAAACTTTGTGAATTGAGGAAATCAATTTTATTTCTTCAAAATGCCATGGAATCAGAGTTGAAGTGAGAGGTTTCGTGATGTGAGGTTTTGAAGTTCTGCAGTGTGTGTGATTTGAAGAAATTTAATTTTTGGCCTGAATTGGAATTTTGGTCCAAATTGGACTTTCAGCCCAAATTGGTCTATTGACTGGAATTGGACTTATGGCCTGAATCAAAGTTAGTGATTAGAGTTGCAACTGCTGCTGCCTGTCATACACCTGAGGAAGGTTGGAGAGTAAAATGGCCGAAATGTTGTGATAATAACAACAAAAATGAGGAGAGTAGTTCTAATATAAATAGTGTAAATAATGATACCCAGTGTTGGAATATCTAACAGCTTAGTGAACAAATTTATTTTATTTTTTTTTATTATTAATGATCTATCTCTAGATATCAAGCCCTATAATTAAAAAAAACTGTTTGCTTTAAATCCATTATCATCCAGTATTACCCTAACAAAATATAATTTTAGTGATTGTTGTTTTATACATGGAAGACTCTCCTATTGTCTTTCAATGTATGAGGTTCCAGCAGCTCTGTTCTTAGAACCAAACAGCCAAACTACTCACATATATGATTTGATTATTGCAGTGAAGGCTTGTGCAGAACCAATTGTACTTTTACAAAGAGCCAAATACTGAGAAATTGTGCACAGTGTGCCAAAAGGTCGCCAAATGACTCTCCTCAGGTTCTAAATTGTCCCTTTCTTAGACGGTTGCCACCCAAGGCTATAGGAGCCAGTCTGTCCTGTTATCAACCCATAGATGAATGAAGAAGAGATATAGAGTCATACCTTTCCCAAGGGTATTAACATGTAACTGAATGCAATGAACTCAACTGGAATTCGAACTCGGCTCTTCAATTTCTCAATCCAAGCTGCTATCCATTACTCTACTGTTCTTCCATGTTGATATATATCTTTTGTCAAATATGACTGAGAAGGAAAATTTTATTTATTTTTTATTTTTATTATGTTTTTTATAGTGCTTTGCTCTGATAAGGGACATGTGAGTCATCTACTCAAGGAGGTGGTTGTATGTCTGATATAGGTAATTGATTGATGACAAGAAACACAGTCTTGTACTAAGCAGTGAAATTGATACATTATATTGGTCATTACCAGTTTAGATTTAGAAAAACATCTATCAGTCTATAATCTACAATGACCCTTAAGAAAGATACTGGTCAAAAACACTAGAGACCTTTTTAAATCATTTCTCTGAAAACACCTTGTTATAAAAGAGGCCCTGGACCTCAAACAGCTCTCCATGACCAACAACCTTGCCTTGTTTAACAATGGTAACAGAATGCTGAAATTCTTTTAAAATTGGAAAATCACTCACTTGAATTCCAGCCATGCTCAACACAATATAGCTCAAAATTAAGGCTCCTACTACAATTTATGAACTGCAAAACAGTCAGTACTGAAACCAAGTCAATTAAATTTAGTTTCTTATTGTAGAAAACAAAGTAAAAGAAGCAGGGTGAGTGATAAAGTGGAAGTAATGTAAGTGAGCAATGATAAGAAAAGCTTAAACCTTACAGATGTATAATGGTTTGAATATACTGCTCTTTTAGCATAATGTAGAAATAGCTATCTGATAGATAAATCCACAGATTTGAGCTGAAGTACAATAAAATGATCTCTTGATGGTACTCTGCTTTGTTTTTTGTTTTAATCATTTCAAGTAAGGCAATAAAGCCACTAAGATGCAAGAGATTACTGAGAGTGAAAGAATCTGAGAAAAACTTTGAGGAGAGCAGATAATAAAAGAACAGGATTTAGGCAGACAGATGATGATGGTTGACACTGTGTTTATATTTTTGAAGATTGTAGCTGACAAGAAAGCAAGAAGCCAGAAGCGTGAAATGCAAGAGATGAAACTGTTAACCTAAAACTTATAGTTACAACTAGTAATTTCAACAGCAAAATTATGAGACCTAACTGCCAGTCTTGTCCTCCACCTTGTTCTGTCCCACTGCATAGTGGCTTGCTCAACAAGACGCCTTGATTTGATCTGGTTGTAGGGATACAGTGTGCTACAAGATTTATTTTGGGATCTCATAAATTCCTGTTCCAAACAGTCGCATGACAAACACCCCCTGCGTCTTGGACTCTCCTAGAGGCAGAGAGAGTTTGGCAGTGACAAGGATCAGATACCGTATTGAGAAGTCTCGAGTCAATATAAAAAGGTGAAGTTAACCCACTTAACCAGGCACCATAACCCAATGCTGAGAAGTAGAGAAATCCTCACAAGGACACAGATATCTTGTGAGTAATAAACTATTGTTTGTTGTGTCTTTTGTTTTATGTTGTGATACATGTGGTAAAAGTATTTCACATCCTCTTTTCTTGTTACTAGTACCTCTTTATTTTCTGTTTGGGAGCTCCTTGAGGTACAGAGCAGTTAAATATCTAACACACCCAACATGGCTGTTGGTCAGTGCCTGGGTGTGGGTAAAATTTTCACTGGTCCATTCGACAACATTGTTTCACACTCACTCACTTTCTTCTTCTTCTTCTTCCTCCTTGTACTGTTCTTTGTAGGATGGTCTTGGAGAGGCCTCATAATCCGATTACGTGGTCATCCTACTTCTGCTTCACCTTCTTTATGGTGGTCAACGCGTTTTTATAGCCATTTATCTGATGATTCACTCTTCTGTAGATTTCTTCATTTGTGACATGGTCTGTGTAGGAAATACCAAACAGTCATATAAAATATCTCATCTCTGTAGCTTGCATGCAGGAGAACTGGCAAGATGATATCATTTTATTTTTGAGGGTGAGATTTTTGTCTTTCCAGTTCAGTTTCAACTGTGCCATTGCAATTGTTGTCAACACAATTCTTGCATTGACTTACAGCTTGGATCCATTTTGGCTAATGACTGCACCAAGTTATTTGAATCAAATAATATGCTCAAATTTATAAGGTCAATGTACCAAAAACAAATGTACTTTTGAGAAAAGTTACCATGAAAGTATTTATAAAAAAAGATAATGGAAAGCTACAATTTGGAGGATGGAAAGTGACTGAAACTGAAATGCCAGGTGAAGATCGACAACATTGCAGATATTTCTTTAGATTTTGTCAAAAATCCCAGTATCAAAAATTGTATGTGAGAAAAAGTCTCTGGAAAGTTTCAGTTGTTCTATATTTAAAAAAAAAAAAGTATTTTTCTTAAAGATTAGTTGGCTTATCAATCCTAGAATCACAACAGCTGAAGTCTGTATTGTTTAGCTTCCTATACCAGTAAATTTGATATTTAGGTGGTTGGTTGTATCTTATTGCTTGATGAGTACACTAAATGAAAGCCTTTGAAAAGTAAAGAAATGTCTTACCTGATGGTATTGTTGTTGTTTTACTTGTGGCTTAAAAAATAATTAAAAAGGAAAATAACATTAATCATATGCAATTGTAAAGAATTTCAAATTACATTTTTAGAAATCATTTTGTTTAAAAGATTATTAAATAAAAGAATAATAAATGCTGTTTGATTATAATGATTTCAAATAATTCACTTTATTGTAAATTTCACAAGTGAAGAAAAAAGTGTTTGCCTCCTATAAAGCTTCTAAATTCTTTCAATTTAATTTGATGTCCAAAGAACAGACATGGAAAAATAATTAAAACATATATAGAACCCAAACGCGTTGTATTACCTTATACTAATTTTGCTTTTCCCTTCCCTTAATACAACCATTACGCCCTGCCATACCTCATAAATGATGGATTATTCCATTTTGATTGAGAGGAAAGATGGAAAAGACATCAGACAGTGAGAAAATGAAAGAAAGAAAGCAAGACAGACAGAAAGAAAGAAAGAAAGAAGGGAAGATAGACGTATTTAATGACTCCTGTCAATACGTCATAAATAATAGACTATTCCATTTTGATTGAGAGGAAAGACAGAAAAGACATATCAAACATGCTACTTGGTTTCAGTGAAAAAATGAAAAGAAAGAAAGAAAAAAAGAGTGGAAGATAGAAGTGTTTAATGCCTGTTTCAGTGAAATGGAAATCTTTTCATTTGTACCCCTTACTTCTTAAACCTATGACCTGCATTCATATTTATCAGTGTTAGTGCAATATTTTGTTAAAGCTGTTAAGCTCAAATATTTAACAATGTGATAGGGGAATTTTTACGGATATTTTATTGGCATAGAACTCACTATGAGCTTATTCAATCATTAATGGAAGAATTAACATTTATCAGAAAAATAAAATAAGAAAACTGAAATTTTCACAAGTATTTCTAGATCATATATAATCTAAGAGAAGGAATATATATACATTAGTGAATATACATAATATCCAACATTGATAGCACAACTCGGAGTTTCATGCAAATGTGCAATCTTCAGGTGGAAAATACTGACGTATTATGCATAGTCACTAATATAAACTTAATAGTAAGTATATGTGCATATATATATGTTTTTTTACTATGCTCATATCTATATCTAGATATTGGCAGCAACAACCTGAAATATGTGAAATCATTCTCGTATTTAGGAAGCAAAGTGAAAGTTTTGGATGGTCTGCTCTCTATTTGGTATTTAGTGAATATTTTGTTAAAGTAAAGTTCAGTAGACTTTCATTTCAATTTTTTTTATTGTTTCACTTCAAAATTTTTATTTAGTATAGAAAATAATTCCTTTTTTTAATCACAGCCAGTGGTTCTTGGTGGCAGCCACCAGCAGGCCACCAGTGGGCCTCTAGGGGCCGGCTAATGGTAATGTTGCTGAGAGAAACACACTGGTGGTCCAACAGTGGGCCACCAGCTGTAAACACTAGTGGCATGCCACCCAGTGGTGACTTGCGTGTAGGGTTGTTTCAATTTGGATGAGAATCTGACTAAATGGTAAGTATATAAGACATTTTGGAAAAGTTTTATTTTGACAATGTTTCAAGGATCAAACAGCTTCATCAGAAAAATACATTTTATATCAACCAAATCCACATGGGTGAGATTTTTTTCTGGTGACACTGTTTGATCGGTAAACATGTCAAAATAAGCATTTTCCAAATGTTCTTATATATTTACCAATCTTGTAAATATAAAATTATATTGTTATAACGAGCAATAAGAATACTCTCATAATCTTGTAAATACATAATTTATTATTTTAGGTCACAAATTAAATTCTATACTCTTGTAAAAATATTGTTTTCACATCATTTTTTCATCTCAAATAAACAATTGAATAAATAAAGTGTTTAACATTTTTGTTGTCAGCTCTTTAGAAAAATATATAAATTCAGTTTCATATGTTATGGTTTTATTTAAATTTTATAAATAGCTTTTTAAAACAATAACAATTATCAAGCAAGTATACAGTAATAACAGTGTCAAGAGAAATATGTCATTTTTGATGTACCATTTTTTTATATTTTTTTCTGCCATGTCCCTAAGGACCACTGGTGTTGTCACCAGCAGCCCGCCAGTGGGCCACTAGCAGCTTGTGTGTAGGGCATTTACAAGATTATAGAAAAATATCTGAATAAACTCTAATGAACACTATTTACATTGTTCAGACTGTTGTCCTCATGTTTATTGTCTATATTCATGGCCATTATACACTCTGACCTTCTTCAGGTGATATACATTGGAATTTCGAACTCATGTTTATTGTCTATATTCATGGCCGTTATACACTCTGGCCTTCTTCAGGTGATATACATTGGAATTTCGAACTCATGTTTATTGTCTATATTCATGGCTGTTATACACTCTGGCCTTCTTCAGGTGATATACATTGGAATTTCGAACTGAACCCATTATTTAGTTCACTGGGGTAGTGTTCCAGTTCCAAATAACATGAATACAATATTGGAATCAGTAATACAGATTGCAAGAGAAAAACAACAATAACAAAAAATTATAATATGAGCTTTGGTAAAAAATGGTAACTGAGACATTAGGTTTATATGTCCCATAAATTCATTAACTCCACATTCAGCCCCCAAGGACACATGGCCCAGTTTGATAAAAGTGTTGGTGGAAGTAATCCAGTGACTTGACTCAAAGAGTTGTGAGTTCAATACCTGGCCACAGCAGAGGTAAATCAAAAATTGGAGAATTGAGTTACCAAAGGGAAATAACTGAAACTGAGATATCCAGTAGAGGCATGGCGTGTGGAACTAGAACAATCTACTTCAGTGGACTAAAAAAGGGTTTTATTTGAAAATTCCAATGTACAGTGTACAATGGATAAATTGTCTGACAGCAATGACTGGGTTCTCTTGCTTGTGTGGCATGTTGTGGAGTCGTGTTGCCAGACATAAGATCTTTCAGCAGCCACCCTCTTGACCCAGGACAGCACTACCTCCTCAAGTCACGCGATGTAGGTGTATTGAGTCTGAGGCCCTCACCAACAAATTCGGGAGTTCTTGTCTTATCAGAAAGATCAGAATGAGTTTTCCAAGCTACCGTACCTTTGTAATCACCATTAGACATCCAACTCTTTCTGAATCCTCTGCACTGTCCTCAAATTGATGGGCAAACACTCTGAAATGTTCATATTGGAGCTTCTGGTGTGAATACCAAGCAGTAAAGCATGCCATTTTCAAATTTCTGCTTCAGTGAATTGCATCATAGTGTCCAACTCATCTTACTATACTGTGCAGTCAATAAAATCAAAAACAAATTATGCACATGTGCAGCATTAAAAAGATAAAATGGTGACAATTTGCCCATCACAACCTGTATATCACCTGAAGAAGACTGGAGTGTACAACAACCGAAACGTCATGAATATGACAATAAAGATGAGGACAACAGTCTGAACAATGTAAATAATTACAATACTACATCTCAGAAATATAGACAGATCCTGAAGAAGGTCAGAGTGTACAATGGCTGAAATATCGTGAATATGACAATAAAGATGAGGACAATAGTTTGAACAAAGTAAATAGTGTGTAAACAGTTATAATACCACATCTCAGAAATATAAACAGATCTGGAAGAAGGCTGGAGTGTACAACAGCCGAAATGTTGTGAATATGACAATAAAGATAAGGACAACAGTCCGAACAATGTAAATAGTTACAATACCTCATGTCAGGAATATAGTTACAGTTATGTACGATGCATGACACATGCTTAGGTGATCATGTATCTTCTGATACATAACTGACAAGGCAGATTTTTTTTCACGCAGTAGGTTGCTATTTCTTTCTACGGTAGAGCAGTTGGTCTGTCCTGCTATTTACCCATAGCTAGGGAGAAAAGAAGAGGATTCATACCTTTCCCAACAGTATTAGTACATAAGTGAATGTAATGGATTTGACTGGAATTCAAACTTGACTCTCCGATTCCTCAATCCTAGCCGCTATCCATTGCTCCAGGAATATAGACAAAACTCTAATGAAATATTTATTACTTAGCATATTATAAAGATGGTTTTGTTATGGCATTATTCAAATTCTAAAAATAGCTTTGAAAATCAGTGAAAATTAGCAAGGGAGTTTGTGGTAATAAAAAAAATTGAAAGTAAAAACATACTTTTGACACACCATTTTTTTCTTTTGCCTGGTCTTAGATTAAACTTTGCCACATGATATTTTACCTAATTTCAGAATATTAGATAATTAAAAAGTATTTTTACCTGGACCTGCTGCAGGTGAACTTTGTTTTTCTGCAGTTGTTTTTGTTGTGGTCATGGTCCCAGGTGATTTTGGAGATGTCGTGGTCATGGATAATGAAGATATGGCTTTTGTTGTTTTTATTGCTGTTGAAGGCTTCAAGGAGGAACTCATGGTTGTTGCTGTGGTGGTTGGTGATGCGGTGGTTGGTGATGTGGTGGTTGGTGATGTGGTGGTCACTGCCACAGTAGTGACTGTGGTTGGGGATGGTGCTTCTGTTGATGTTGTAGTTATCTCTAATGGTGTTGTTGTTGTGACCATTGTTGTTGACAATGTACTTGATGTTGTTGAGTCTAAAGTAGGAAGTAACATATATTTTATAATGTTTTTTGATTTCATATAAAAAATTTTTTTACAATAATTTTTATCCTGTATAAAGCCCAAGAGCCACTCAAGGTAGAAAGTTACAGAGTAAAAGGCAAAGTTTATATGGATATGTGGGGAAGATAACAGTTAAATCTAGACTTGAACATGTTAAGATTGTAGTGATTGAGGAAGCATCCTCTGGGGAGTTGGTTCCACAAAGTGTCAGTCCATAGGAAGAAGCTGTTTGAGTGGAATTTACATCTCACCAAAGAAATATGAATGGAACGAGAGTGGTTCACTATAATGTGCATGGCATTGTAGGTTTTAGTCATGAATGTTAGAACTGGTAGTACTAAGGACTGTAGTTTGTCAGAACATTTCATATGGAAATAGCAATAGAGTAGTGAAAGTAGCAAGAGGAATTTTTTTTATATAGATTTTGAATCCTTTTTCTTTTTTAAATTTGTCACCAATGTAAGTCTGTAGAACTCTCGTCTGGATGATCATGATTGTCAGAAGAAAATATGCAATATTGATATATCCTGATCTGGCATCTTATCTGCAGTCACTTTCTCACAGACATGATGTGGCTTCTCTCTATCTTTTTTACAAATATTTTCATGGCAAGTGCTCAGACGAGCTGCTTTCACTGGTATTCAAACTGCATGAATTTAAATGTACTACTAGGTTGGCATCTCGGTCCCACTCTTTCAACATTGAAACATTTAAATGTAACCACTTCTTCTACTCCAACTGCTTCTTCTCTTGCACTTCCCAACAGTGTAACTCCCTTCCTCTTACTTGCTTCCCTGATAGCTATAATCTTTGAATATTGAAATATAATGTCAATTGACATCTTCTGATACCTTGATCCCTGTCCTTCTCTTTATCCTTTCCTCAAACATCATCTCTTTACTCTTGCTATCACTCTCTGTAACCCCTTATGTGCTTGTAGTGGCACTTACACTTGGCTTGGGGTGAAAATACTGTATTTAATTGAAACAAACAATGATGCTTTAGTCTATTAAAAAAGCTGCAGAAGCGAGAATTTCTCATTCTAACTTCATGATGTTTTTTTCTTTTTGTTTCCTAAAGGAATGGTTGGACAAACATTACGATGCTACAGAATCCATTTTTGACATTTTGGCTTCAATTCCAAGGGCAAAACTTTAAGCATAGCTTAGATAAGGCACAAGGTTGAAAGTATGGGGCACTCAGTGAGGATTGAACTCGCTACTCAGTCATAATTGGTCTAGGGAGACAAGCTTGCTAACCATTACACCAGGTCGAGGTGCCCAATTTTCAAGGGGATGAATATGTGATGGCAAATTTATTATACTAGTTAGTGTCTTCACAATAAAACTGGTATCAACCAACCAATATTGATAATATTTTCAGAATGTACTAATATCTACATAATAAATATACCATTTCAATCTGAGCTACTAATATTGGTTTTTTGCAATAAGATTAGGCAGAAACATGGACTATTGCTGCCACATCAGGGCTGGAGATGCACAATCCTGACTTTCCAGCCTTGATAGAGTTCAAAATCATTAATACTGTCTAGTATATATAGTATTGGAGAGGAGATGAGATGAGCACTGCCAAGTTATCTACAAGCCCACCAAAAGGATTATGAAGCAGGTGAAGCAAAATATAACTATGTCAGATCGGTTGAAGCCCAGATTAACAATGACTGCGTGTCCCATTGATTTAGACCATTGTGGAAAACAGTTAGTGTGGCTTCTGCATTCGGATCTGCCCTATGATTATAAAAGTCATGATGATGATGATGATGGGAAGACTTATTCCCAACATTGCAAGCCTGTCAAAACTCTGTTTCTATTTCCATAGTAAATGGTCAGATGAGCTGTGTTCTTTAGTTCCACCAATTCAGACTTTTACAATTAGGAGATTGCATGCCACTTCCATGTAGTTGAATCACCAACATTTCCTCTGCATTTCCAATGCAAGGAGAAAGTTCCATTCAGACAGTTTTTTACACAAAGAACTGCTGCTTTGTGGAACATATTCCCACAAGGATGCATTGCTTAACACTGCAATCTTCACCTCTCCAAGTCAGAGATCAGATGATATCTATTTTTCTTAGTCGCATAATCTTTAACTTCTACTATCTCCACTTTCACATATCACACCTCATTCAACATAACAAGTTTGACAATAAACCTCTACCTTGAGTGGTTCTCGAACCTTGTATTGGATCAGTTATTATCTATATTCCTCATTCATATACTTTTCAATTAGTACTTTCACTTTCATTCATATCACACCTCATTCATCATAACTATTTTGACAATAAAGCTCTACCTTGAGTGGTTCTCAAACCTTGTATTTTTGTGAAATTTGTACTAAACAAACTTCAGTATTGATCATCCAAGAAAAGTAAGATATTAAGATATTATAATGTGTGATAGCAAAAATACAATATTGAAAAATTGAAAAGACAGTTAAACGGAGATCATGATAAGAATTAGAAAAAAAATGGCTGTAAGAATATTATGAAAAAAAGTTTAAATATAATCAACTAGAATAGTGGAGTGACCAGAGACAGATCAGGTTGAAAATGAAGTACTATTGATATATTTGGGCTTGATAGTGCCCTTCTGTCCTTGTGGGTGACAAATTATTTTCCACCCTCCAATCTCTCTCTCACAGGCAGGATGTGGCGAGTCTCTCACAGCGCTATTGCTACTTTCTTGGAAAGTGCTTGTACAAACTACATTCCTTGGTTCTACCAAATCTAACCTTCCTGGTTAGGACTTGCCATGCCATTCACATGGTAGCAAACCACCCACCTTCCCTTCATATTCTATTGGTAGGGAGTAAGTTCCACTCAAACAGTTTCTTTCCACAAACCGCTACTCTGTTGAACAGACTCCCAAGAGGATGTTTCCCTGATCACTACAATCTTAACCTGTTCAAGTTTAGAGTTAACCATTATCTTCCACTCTTATCCATGTATATATATTAATGTAATCCTCTACCTCAAGTTGGCCTTGTACTGGATGAACCTTACTGTAAAAAAAAATGTTTGAACGTTAAATATCTTCAAATATTTAGCAATTAAACATAAATATGCATATATTTTTATCAGGTGAATATCAGTAAAATAACAAAAAGTTATTTACATTAGTCACTTGCATTTCCTTTCTTAAATGATATTGACGTATAAAACTACCGTATTTGATGGCATATAAGGCACACCTTTTTTTTACTAAAAATATCTTTTAAAATTACCCCGCGTCTTGTATGCCATATGTAGGTTTAAAATTCGTGATAGTTGGACGAAATTAGCTACCTGGCAACTATTATTAGCTTAGACTTTAGAGTAACTTTCATATACCTATTGTCATTATTTAAAAGGCTATTATGCAAATTAAAAGTGTTATCATTGATAATATTCATTATATTAATTTTATAACGTTTAATATTAGTACTTTGTTTCACTAAAATTATATGCAATAAATTCAAATTATATATTTATCAAATATATTTGCTTCATTAATATTTTTCTTGTGAGAACTTCCGGTTGCATTGGTATAAATACAATCAGAATTTTTATATCCTAATTATTCCACTAAGACGTTTACAAGACACAGGTTGTACAGATCCTATAAAGGATATAAAGTTTATATAGGCTCGTGTTCTTTCTTCCTATTATTTCATTAGGACAGCTAGCCAATCCCTGTTGCAGATGCTTACTCAGGCACATTTGTGTTTGTTTAACTTTACTGAGCAGACCTTAGTTACAGTTTCTGGGCTAGAGTGCATTATCTGGTGTGATCAACTTTCTGAACTAGGCCAGTACATTCACAATGGCTTGTGACTTTGTGAGAATACAACCCCCTACAATATAGTTCCATCTATCCAATTTCATTCACAAGACTTTGGTCAACTGTAGTTTGGTTTTCAGGCATTTTCCAAAGGTGCCACATGCTGAGATCACCTCTATAGGCTGATGACATCAAGAATTCACCTTCCTGATAAATTGACTATGAGGATATTCAAACTTGAATCTCATGGTCGAAAAGCAAACATTCTAACCACTCAGCCATGAACCCATGATATATAAATAACTGTTTAATTCGCATATCTAAGGTATATAAACTATATAAGTGCCTAAACAGTAAGGAAAGGGGTAAAAATATGATATGCTGTCCTGGGTAAGACAATAAACTATATCCACGTCCTGGGTAAGATGATAAACTACGTCCAACAGGAAGGCCTCTGATCAGGAGGTTTTGAGGAGTGTGGAACCACCTCAATTGCTGGCGTTCCCAGGTCCACCCTGACCCGGGGTGGTAACACCCATTAGGGTTCCAGCTAGAGGCAAATATTTGACACCCAAACTTGTGTAAAAATAAGGAAAAATTATTATCAGCAATATTTAAAAAAAAATGTACTAGCAATACAAACAGCTATACATTCTTTGAAAAAAATATGACCAGCTATAGATTTCTTCAAGGAAAAATATTCCCAGCAATAGATTTTTGAAGAAAAACATATTACCAGCAATAAAAATTTTGTTGGCATTAAATAACCCATTGAGGTTGATATGCTGTAAAACAAACCAAACCAAAAATATGATATGCAAGATTAACGACTACACTGGACTGAGAAAATAAGAAATAAATCACATTTCATAAGAATTACATTTTATTTTACTGTGAACAAGTTTTTTTGTAAGGCTAAAGTATTTCAGTTTTAATTAAAAGTTTATTAATGAAAAAACATTTAAAGAATTCTTCTTAAATTAAAAGAATTAAATTTAAATCATTTCTATTTAAAAAAAAGTAATCAGATAGAGATTGAAATATACAGTGAATTTTTTTTCATTTGTTTAAGAAATATGGCCCATGATATAACAGGTGATAGAAACAAAAAAATAAAAAATAAAAGAGGAACTTTTCTGTTGAGTTGTTAGGAAATTTTTGGTTGGAAAGAAACTCTTTATAATAATATAAGATGTAAAGATGTGTAGAAAATAAGTTACCTTACCTGAAATTATGACGTGACTTTTGGGAAACACGATTTGAATGATCTTAAGGACTGTATCCATAATAAATGTTGTAGAAACTGTAGGCTTGGATTTTTTAAAAAATGAATTAAATTTAATAACTAGACTTCCTTTCCTATGGAAAAACATAAAAAAAAACAGAAGTTCATACATACATGTTTATCGTTCAAATAGTTCAAACAGTCTTTAAAATAAATTACACAGCTTTTGAAAAATTCATGTCTATTTAGTTGTTTTGTTCAAGTATTTTCAAACATTGAAAATGACTGGGACAGTCAAAAATACCTGAAAAGAAAAACAGAACAAACACGAACTTTGGACAGTTTATCTAAAATTTCAATCTCAACATCTTAATTGAAAATTGGAAAAATACAATAAAAAACGTGAACAGACAGATCTTGTTGGTTGTATTTAAACAAACTTGAATAGGTAATAAATATGAATTTTATTTTGCTGGCTTTTTATCCTTCAAATTTCATTAACTGGCCTATTTTCTACATATTATAAGGAGCACAAATGGACAAACTTTCATTTTAATCATATATATATATATATATATATATATATATATGATTAAAATGAAAGTTTTTTTTAAAGGAATGCAGGATGGCCCCAAACTTTTTGACTGTAATATATATATATATATATATATATATATATATATATTGATATGTCCTGGAAAGGGATATATTTGTTTGAAGTCGCAAAGTGGTTGTTAACTACTGTAACCGGGTAGGACAATCTAGCAGGTAACCATAATAGACTGGTCCTCATCGTAGTGGTAGGCAATAGACGTAGTCAATAGGCGTCCAATAGTCGTCGTCGATGTAACTCCACATTAGTGTGTATTTATGGCTGACACCAGCCAATCATATTACTGTGAGAGGGAACCCAGGATTATGCATATTCATTACATCATATATATATATATATATATATATATATATATATATATATATATATATATTACAGTCAAAAAGTTTATATACATATATATATATAGGTCGGTGGAAAATAAATTACCTTACCTGGAATATATATATATATTACAGTCAAAAAGTTTGGGCCCACCCTGCATTTCTTTAAAAAGAACACTAAAATGAGATATTTTTGTATTTTTTAAAATAAAATACAAAATACTGTGTATTTGCCTTTATTTTTCAGTCTTTATCTAGGTACCTGTTACTACCAAAATTTTCCAATTTGTATTTGTCTTTCTGCAATACATTTTCCTAAATTATGAATATTTTGTATGAGAAACATTATATTTTGTTTTCACTATTAACACCTCAGTAGACTTTTTGAGATTACCAAATTTTTCATCTAAATTAAACATTAATACGGGTTCAAAATTTTACCTCAGCACTGATTAATGATGTAAACAAAACATATGTAGTTGTCTCTGTTTGAAGAAAAAAAGATTATATTATGACAGTATTTTCAGAGTTTTTTCTTTTTTCTTTTTTTAATTTTGAAGTAATTTGCACAAAATGGCAAAATGAAAGCAGCTAAACACTGAGGTAAGAGCAGAAATTGAAATTTTATTCAAAGAATGCTACTCTCAAAGACAAATTAACAAGTTAAGGATTTCTAGACATGGGGTGCAATATTTGTTACAAAGGCACCAATGTTGGTAGAAAAAGATCTGGAGCATCAAAACTAACAACTGCTGCTGAAGATAATCACTTGGTTATTGAGAAGAAAAGAAATAGAAGTAAAACTGCTTCTGAGTTGACAACTGAACTTAATTTGTTTTGACAGCAACCAGTGTTCTCAACTCTGAAAAATCAATTTAGATCAGTGGAACTTAGGTGTGGCATAGTCATCAAGAAAACTCTGTTACAGAATGTGATTAAGCAAAAAAGACTGTTATGGGGGAAAAAAAAACAAAAACATAAGAAGTGGACATTGAAAGAATGGCAAAATATTTTGTGGATAGAATCCAAATTTTAACATTTTATTTTAAGAGGACAGTGTATGTGAGAAGAAAACCAGAAAAACTGAATGATACATTATTTACATTATTTGGACTATTGTCCTCATCTTTGTCGCCATATTTATTACAACGTTTCAGCCATTGTACGCTCTAGCCTTCTTCAGGTAGTTAGAACGTGGAACTGAACCCTTTATTTTGCTCACTGGGTTAGACTGTTCTAGTTTCACTGTGCCATGTGTCTTCAAGGACACATGGCACAGTGTTGACTGTAGAGTATAAATGTTATTCCTCACAGTTAATAGATCTTTTTCTGATTCATTCAATATGTTGGCTGGATGTGAGTGCTAAGAAAGCAAAACACAATATAAAAAAGTCACTTTCTGCACAGGGCTCTGAGCGCCACATCTTGTCCACAAAACAAATCTCCACAATAAAATACAATAACCAATCATGAATGTTCCTGTCAGCAAAGATGACCCTGGGGATCATGAGATTTGCTTAAAACAAAGCCCCTTGTAATGAGCGACACAGTTGTGGTCCAAAAAGACTATATGTGTAAGAATAAAGATAAAAAAGAAAACTTATCTCAACTGATGTATTTTGTCCACTGAGGGACTTTATCAAGGCAAATGTCAGTGGATGAAACGCATCGGCTAAGATAAGTTTTTCTTTTGTCTTTATTCATACATACTTATATATATATATATATATATATATATATATATAGTTTTTATTGATATTGTCCTTTTACAGATATTCTCTATCTGAAATTTTTACACACACACACACACACACACACACACACATATATATATATATATATATATATATATATATATATATATATATATATATATATTTAATTGGTAAAACAGTAAAGCTACTAAGGGGTTACAGGCTGTGGAAGAAATAGGAACAGAAACATAAATAATGAGCAGGAAGAGGAAAGAGGAAAGAGTAATCAGGACAGTAGATAGTGATTGACATTGCATTTAAATTTTTGCTGGCTGGAAAGCATTGACTTGGAAGTGATTTCCACAATTGAGAACTGTGAGAAAAGAAACTGCTGACATAGAATTTCCAATTACATCTATCCAGCACAACAGTAAATTGATGAGATATCAATGCCAGTCTAGTACTGTGCTTAAATTCAAAAAGTCTATGTACCATAGGAAAAGAGCTCCTCTGAACAATTACCATGAAATTATTTATAGAAAAGGTACAGAGAGGCAACCTTAAAATGATGGGAAAGTGACTGAATTTGAGCAGCCAGATCAAGACCAATAATATTGCAGGAAGAAACTTTTTGGTGGTGGGAAAGTGAATGAAACTGAGATGCCAGGTCAGGACCAATAATATTGCTGATTCTTTATTGGATTTTATCAAAAAGCTCAAGGTAAATAGCAGGGGCACCAGTCGATATGTGGCAGCAATATTCTAACCATGGATGAACAGTAATCTTATAGATATGTAAGATGGATTCTGGAGAGAAAAATTGTCTCACATGACACAGTGAACCAACTTTCTTAGTAGCTGATTTAGTAATAGATTCAATATAGTCTTTCCATTTTATCTCAATATATATATATATATATATATTAATAAATAAAGAATAAAGCAGATACAAACCTGAAATTTATAACCTCTGTCCTGTTATAAAGATTTGCAAGGGAACTGTTTTTAAAATAGTTGTCCATCTGATGGCATAAAGAAAAAAGTCATTAAAAATATAGAATAGAATATTAGCAAGAAGATTTAATAAATATGTCTTTAATAAAATCTCACAAATCAGTCAATGTTTTAAGTTTTTAATAGCATTTGAATTCAATATTCAAAACAAACAATTAGGTGACTCTTATGTTTGGCAATTATAGAAAAGCATTTTACAATCAAATCATTTTGAAACATTCTCACACATAAAAAAACTAATTTCATAAATGAACTTTTTAAAAGACTGTAAATTGAAATGATTAGAAAATGAAATTGACAAACAAGAAGCATACTTAATATCTTTCTGTTCAAATTTATATCACACACTTGATAAAAGTATTGACTAATTTTATAAAGAGCATTGTGATTATCAGTGCTAAAAATAGAATTGGAACACTAAGTTTGTTGCATTCATTTTTGCACAAATTCTATTGGGAAAGGTATGAGTTCATCTCTGTTGCTATAGGTTAAAAGGCAAGAGAAGATTGTCTAACCCTGGTTGACAACCAAGGGCAACCTAGGAGAAGGACAACTCGGAATTCAATACAACTTGGGTATGGGCTTCACTCTGTAAAATATAAAGAGAACAATAGAGAGATAGATAGAAGGATATATAAAGAGTGAAAGATAAATAGGGATATATATATATATATATATATATATATATATATATAGAGAGAGAGAGAGAGAGAGAAAGAGAGAGAGAGAGATACCTTAATGAAGATGCATGCACACCATAAAAGTCATCATAGCTGACAGTTGAATTGCAAGCCAAGTTCAATTTCTCACCTTCTCTATTGTATTCCAATGACCTTGGAAAAGACAGGAATTCCTCATTATTCCCTTTAGTTATGATTTAATTAAGCAGGTTAAACTAGACTTTTGTGATAAATTGCCTGAAGCCAAATGAGCATGACACTTTGTGTGCTTTGCATGTAGACGGCCATTTGCACTGTAGGAAGTGTGCAAGTGCAATCCTTATAATATCATTGGCAGATGAATATTCATGAGTTTGACATGTGTTCAAGGACTTGCTTGAAGAGGAAAACAATTTGCTACCAGCAGCTGTTGAGAGAAGCTTACAAATGGCTATGATCTATGGTGAACCATGCATTCCACATTTTATGGTGTTGGAGTGAGTTACTTTTCTTGGTGATGAACACGTTTTGAAGTATCTCTCTGTGTTTGTATCATAGAATCTACCCGCTTGCAGAAACAACTCTCTAGCTTTGGTTGGCAACCACTCTAGATGAATAACAACCCTGAATTCAAAAGTGGTTGGGCATATGGCTGGCAACTCTACCCTGTAAAATCATACTTGCTATAGAAACCACTGCAGCAGCATCAGGCAGAATTAAACTCTGGCCATTCTCCATAAGAAAGTCTAATGCCACTAAGAGAGGAATCATAGTAATAATAGCAATAAAAACAGAAAAGTTAAAACAAGAATAAAAAATAACAAAAAAGTGAGATAACAAAAAAATATTTATATTACCATAAACTGGTAATATCAAAATAAAAAAAAACATAATAAAAAAAGCAGCTAATCAGGTTCATTGGTCCTCTCCCAGTGGAACTCAATTAACAATGAGGAATGTACAGATTGGTTACAATAAATACCAAAACTTGATTCATTAATTTGATTTTTATGGCTTATCAACTTTTTACTGGTTATTTTCAAGCTAGAAAATATTTTTAGATTGTAAGAATTTTTTTGAGATAATAATGATTTACTGATACAGGTCCTACTAATTACCCCATAACTGGAGCGAGAAGAGGTAGTTTCATACCTTTCCTAATGGTATTTGAATATAATGAACCCAACTAGAATTGGAACTAAGCTCTCTGATTCCCAACTTCTGCACTGACAAATCAACTGCCATTCCTCTGTATTCAAAACAAAAGAAAAAAGTTCCATTCAAAAAGCTTTTTTGTCAAGAACTACCATTTTGTGGAATAAACTACTATTCTTCCCTGAATGCTTTAATATTGACTCCTTCATTAAAGATGCTGGAAAAATGGTCAGCTCCTTGTACCACTTGAGTAAGTACCTGACTCCTACTATGCTCTGCCTTAATGAGAGCCAGATCCGGTTGAAAATGACGTAGTGTTATCATATTTGGGATGGAACTATCTAGTCTTCACTTTCCAGTCTTGATAGGGTCCAGAAGCATCTCTCTCCAACTCTTTTCCACAGATGAAACATTGCAAGCCTCTTGCTAATCTATCAATATTTTCATGGAACATGTTCTGATAAGCTATGTACCTTAGTTCAACCAACTCTAACCCTCACAGCTACAACCTGCCGCACCATCTATATTGAGATGAACCACAATTATTCACATCATATTTGATTAGTTTGAAGAAAGTAACTAAGATAGGAGTGTGGGAAGAAGAATCTTTGTATTTTAGCATCATATGGCCATTCCCTAGAACTGTCTCTCTTTCAGACATCCTGCACCCTACCTTGGATGGGTATGTCAAAAGGGAAGAATATGACATGTACAATCCCTTACTTCACTAAAATCCACCCTTATTCTCTTTGTATTCCATTAGTAAGTTCCACTCAAACAGTTTCTTCCCATGAATTGCTACTTTGTGAAACAGACTCTCAAATGGCTGCTTTCTCGAACAATACAATCTTAACCTTTTCAAATCTGGGGTTATCTTTTCCTCATATGCACATAAATTGTGTCTCTTACCTTTTACTCTTATTGTTCACACAACAACTGCCTCCATTAACCCTCTACCTTGAGTGGTTCTCAAATATTGTGTAAAATTTAGTATTAAAAAACTTGAAGACAATTGAATTTATTGTGCACTATGAAAGTATCTTAAATCAGGATTATCTTCTACAAGTATTTTCACAGCAGCTGTTCTGATGAGCTACTTTTGCTGGTTCCCAGACTGCATGAATTTAAGTGAGTTACTGGGCCAACATCTCGGTCCCACCCTTTCACTGTCGAAATGGTTAAATGTAACTGCTTATTCTATTCAAACAGCTTCTTCTCTCGCACTTAATTTCTGTGGAACTCCTTTCCCATTGCTTGTTTCCCCAATAACTGTAATCTTCAAATATTCAAATGTAATGTCAATTGACATCTGATACCTTGATCTTGTTCTCTGTTTCCTTTCCCCAAATACACCTCTTTACTCTTGTTCTCAATCCTCTGTAACCCCTTGTGTGCTAGTGGCACTCCTGTCTTGCTTGTATTGAATTGCTTTAAAAAAAAAATTTCAAGACTATCTGCATCATTTTTAAGTTGTTAAAGAATATTGAGTTTTACTTACTTTTTTTATGAACAGCTGGCTTCTAATTCTGTATTCTGGAGAGGAATGATTGGAGTAAATACTTTTCCAAGTTTCTTCAAATTTCACATCCCCATTGATTTTAACCATTTTATCTGAAAACAATGCCATTGATTAAAAATTAAAGAAAAAAGAAAGAAAAAAACCTTGGTTTTTTAGCTGAGTAACCCTTTGATAGAGATTAGAAAATGTAACCAGTGTAGGAGAAATAAAATTATGTGACCCTACCTTGCCATTGGATCTGGGAAGGTATGTCAAGAGAGAGGCCTGTGCAACCCTTTCAAGAGGATACTTCCCAGATCATTACAATATTGGCCTGTTCAAGTTTCGGGTCAACCATTATCTTCCTCATATATCCTCATAAACTGAGCATCTTACTCTGTAATCCTCTACCTCAAGTGACTCTTGGGCCTTGTGACTATCATTGCAAAAGAAAAAAAACAAAAAATACTTGTGCACATGCAGCTTCCCTGAGGAACCATCATCATCCTTATGAATTGATTATGATCCAACTTCTGATCAAAAAGGGGCCATTGGAACTCCATGCTAAACCGAGGAAATGAGTACAAATGGGAGTATGTACAAATGGGGGTATGCACAAATGGGAGTATGTACAAATGGGAGTATGTACAAATGGGGGTATGCACAAATGGGAGTATGTACAAATGGGGGTATGTACAAATGGGAGTATGTACAAATGGGGGTATGTACAAATGGGAGTATGTACAAATGGGGGTATGAAGAAAAATATATACGGAAAAAAACAAACAAAAATCCTTATATGCAATTATATGAATATGTCCTGAAGATGGTTTATTAGACCGAAACGTCCGACATTGACATATTAACATTAAGACAGCATGATTGCACATAAGGATTTTTGTTTGTTTTTTTCGTATATATTTTACTTCAAACTGTCGGATCTATATCCATATATTTGCTTACAAATGGGGGTATGTACAAATGAAGGTATGTACAAATGGGGGTATGGACAAATGGAGTTATAGACAGTATCAATTAGTAGAACAATTCCCTTGTCCTGTTTGGAAAAATGCTAAAATTATCTAGAATTTCTGGACATTAAAGTGTTATATTTAAATTTTTCACAACAAAATTAAGCTAAATAAAATACCATGTCTCTTCAGAACATAGGCAATCATGGATTTCCACAGATTCATTTTCTTTATTATCTGTGAATTGCTAAGTTTTCTTGGGTAAAATAATGGAGTGGTTTCCCATTGTCTTCTCCACATTTAGTAATTCAGAGTTTTTTCGTCTTTCCACACAAGGCTAGAAAGCCAAGTCTACCCTGCTATTTAACCCATAGTTGGGCTAAGAAGAGATGGATTCATGCCTTTCCAAAAGGCATTAGTGCAAAAGTGAATGCAACAAACTAGACAGGATCTTGACTCGACTCATTGATTTTGCTTTACATGCTGATAACCATTACATTACTCAAATGTCTGAAATTAAGTTATTGCAACTAGATCATATTTTTTCTTATATTTAGTACCAGACAAAAAATATATTTCTTAAGTCACTTTAAAACTATTTTTAAATATTATTTTTTTCTTTTTATGTGCCACGTCCTTTTCATGTAAGCGATCATGGCTCTCCACCTTCGTCTATCCCTTGCAGCTCTCAAAAAGTTCTTTCCCTCTGCCATCCCCCCCCCAAGATCACGTTCTGTCATCCACTTGCTCAAGCCCACTAGGTATGTCATGTGTTGTTTTCCTTTGTCTCTCTTTCCATCTATTTGACCTGTGAGTATCAGATGCTCCAAGCCCTCCTTCCTCATTATGTGCCTCAGAAACTTCAGCTGCCTCTTCCTGATGTTAAGTATAAGCCTCTTCCTTGTTTGCAACAACCTCATCATTGCTCACATGCCCAGTTCATGATATCCTTAGCATCCTTTTGCAGAACCACATCTCTGTCGCCTCAAGTCCCTTCTTCATCTTTGAGGAAATCGTCCAATATTCACTGCCATAAAGAAGGACATATATCATGTAACAGCTCAGTATTCTTTTCTTTGTTACCAAAGAAATTCTCTTGTCTTGCAGTATTCTACCCAGCTTTTGGAATGCGTCCTTGACCATCCCAATACATCTACGGATCTCAGTGTTGCACTTACCGTCCTCTGTCAAAACACTTTCCAGATATTTAAACTTCCGCGTCTGTTTGATTCTAGTGTTCCTGACCTGTAAATTGCATTTCGGGCTCATTCTTTTACTGATGACCATGAATTCTGCCTTCTTGTAGTTTATGCTTAGTCCCTTCTTCACACTCTCCATCGCTACCTTCTGTAGGAGATTTTGTAGTTTCTTTTCCGTGTCTGCTATCAGTACAGTGTCATCTGCATATCTTATGTTGTTAAGATTGTGGCCTCCAATGCTAAATCCCAGTAAGGTTTCCAATTCTCTCAGAATTGCCTTGCTGTATAGGTTGAACATTTCAGGTGAGAAGCTGCAGCCTTGCCTTACAACCCTTTCTATTTTTGTATATTTGCTGAACTCGTTGTATATGTGCATGTATACTGTTTGCTGCCAGTATAGTTTCTTATTTACATTACTTATATTTGTATTATTGTTGTTTTTATTACATCTCATTGTACCCTCAGGAATTTTGAACTAAATCTACATTGGCACTTTTAAATAGTCAATGAATTAATTTGTTAACTGTTAAAGATGGCTATTTATCTGTGTAAAGCTAAAACCAATATGGAAGTAATCCTCTTTTCAACTCTCTTTTCTTCTAAAGATTCCGATTTAAACCTATCTGTACTTTTTCCTCTGCTATTTTGGTAAATACAGGTGCAGAGATGGTTAACAGCTGAGAAAATGGAACAGGTAAACAAAGTTTAAATTCTTTGCCTCAAGCTATGATTTAAACAGTAGCACACACTGGTTCCCCAGACTTAGTTGGCAACCAATTTAGATGGACAGTTTTGAATTAAAAAGAAGAAAGTAATGGTAAACCACTCCACTATATTTCCCAAGAATAATCATGGAAATGTAGTTTACAGATATCAAAAGAAAAGGAAGCTGTGGAAACCCATGGTCATCTATATCCTGTATGGATATAGCAGGGTTATAATTATTTACATGTAGACTATTGTTTTCATTTTTGCTGTTATTATCACGATGTTTTGGCTATTCTGCCCTCCTGTCATCATCAGGTGAATGTCAATCCAGGTAACATTCAACAAATTTTGAAACTGAAAATTAAAACAATGAGAGTCTGACTTGCTGTATTTGTTGACATTTGCTTTTATAAGAATATCATTTGTACTAATGTTCATTACAATTCATTCTGATATACTAGTAGTACAGAATGGATCTTTAGAGATTGTTGCAATACTACCCATGTAGAAAGGTGAGACTTGGTTTTATCTCAGTCTCAAATAGTCATCCATGTTGAAAGGTAAGAAATGGTTTTTCCTCGATCTCATGAATGATTCTCATGAAGAAAAAGAAGAGATGGCTTTATCTCAATCTCAAATGATCAAATATGTAGAATGGGAAGAGTTGGATTTATCTTGATCTCAAATGATCACACATGAAGGATGGGAAGAGATGTCTTTATCTCAATCTCAAATGGTCAACCATGTAGAAAGGGAAGTGGTGTTTTTATCTGGATGTCAAACAATCACCGATGTTGAAAATGAAGAGATTGTTTTACCTCAATCACAAACAGTCAACAATGTAGAAAAAGTAAGAAGTGGTTTTATCTCAATCTCAAGTGTTTCTGTTTGATAGACCAGTGGAAGGTTCCTTTAGAAGTTCAGTCTTCTTAATAGCATGACCTTTAACCAAAAGGGAACTAAAGGAATTTTCAGAGATCAAGTCACAACAAAGGCAGTAATAGTGTGTATCTGGGTTCTTGTCTGTATTAACAGTCATGCTTTGGATTGGAGAGAGTTCTGGTCTGCCCTTAGCTGGAGATGCAGGTGTCCACAGTACAGTTCCAAAGCCTCTATTTAGTATTGTCAGCCATTATGTTGGGATAAGTAGATAGGCATGGAATTGGTAGGAGAAAGAGCTGACATAGTTGAAGTTGTCCCTAGTATCACTTACCTACCCATCCACCTGGATGAGCAAGTAAAGCCCTGAATAAAATATCTATGTATGATATGGGAAACAGGATTAATGTTATAATTTCTCAACATGGTGTTTCTTTCATCATGTTATCTTGCGAGCATGCAGCAGACCCTTTCTCAGCTTTTGGTGAACACCACTGAGACTGAGGATCAGAATGCAATGTGAATGATCATTGGCTCATTGGTGGATAGCTTGGACAAGAGTTGCATTGTATGTTTACAATTAGTCCACTAAACATAATACCAGTTTATTAGATAAAGTGTAAAATTGGGATATAAAAAAAAACTGTATCATATTGAATATAGTAAGCAGAAAAAAGACAGTTCTAAATTAATAAAAGAATTTATAGTAGTCAATGTAATTATTCTTTAATACTATCAAAATAAAATAAAAATATCAGAATAAGATTTTTTTACTATATAAAGTATGGTAAAAAATAGTTCTGAGTACAGATATTCAAAGTGTAAACTTCAATAAAAATGGCTGTTTTCTTTAATCAGAATGAAATCACTTCATAAATTCTGAAATATGAAAAAGACAAATGAAAAAACCCCCCAAAAAACAAGCTCTGAAACTGAAAAAGTCATTAAATTTATGTACATTGTGGGTGTTTGAAAAGTAATTAAATATTTCTCTAGAAGTCAACCAACCAAAGCAGAACCATGGCTGAATGGTAGAAAACTGCATCTACAATTAGTTTATTATCTCTTTTATTTAGGTGTTCAGAAAGTCATTATTTATATCATTGCTATCAATTAGGAGTCAGCCAATCAAGGTAGAATGATGATCGAATGGTAGAAAACTGCATCTAGAATTAGTTTATCATCTCTTATATCTAACAGTGTACTTTTCATAGTGCATTTCTGAATTTAGGAGTCAATAAGTTCACCTGTCCTCTGGTTCACACACCTCTCTCCCTTTGAACAGGAGTAGAGGCTTATCCCTTGTTTCCTGTTTAGGACTGAGTTTTCACTTCCTTCTAAAGTATTTTTTATTCTCTTTCACTCCCAGTAGTTCCTTGAATCTTAGTGGGATTATTGCTTTGCTTGGGGTGAATTGATTAAAAAAAAATGGGAAAACTTGCAATGAGCAAATATGGGCTCCTTATGAATCTTTGCCTGAGAATCAAAGACAACATTCTACCATCTTGCAGTTTTTAACCAGGAATACCAACCTTTCATTTTTGCATCACATTGTTACAGATGATGAAAAATGGGTTTTGAGGAGAAAATGAAAAAAAAAAAATGAAAAAAAAAAAAAAAAATCACAAATTAGAGAACAGTATCAACTCCAAAAAGAGACTCCATCCATCAAAGTCATTGCTTTGCATTTGGTGAAATATGAAATTATAAGGTACTGGAAAATATGGAAGAACTATCACAGAAGACAGGTATCGAAGCATCACATTGAAAATGTCTTGCTTTTGCAGACAGAAAAACTGTGTTACTCTCCAGTATGAAACACACACTTCAAAATAAATCTAAGAAAAAAATAAGATTGTTCAGATGGGGTTTTCTTCTGCACCCTCCATATTCACCAGATCTTGCACATGCACACGATCATTGGTTCCAATCTCTGGAACATTTCATAAATGGCAGCAAATTCAGCAACAAAGTATTTGAATAAAGCCCTGATCTGGCGGTTTGGCTTCAATCACTTTCCTACCATTATAAGTTTGCCTCAACTGTGTTATTTCTATAAATACATTCATGGTAATTGCTTGGATAAGCTCTTCATTTTAGTACCTTGACTTATTGAATTTAAGTTCAGTACTAGACTGATGTCAAGATCTCATCAATTTACAGTTGAGCTGCTTGATGTAACTGTAAATTCTATGCTAACAGTTTCTTTTGTCAAACTTCTCACTTGTGGAACTCCCTTCCAGCTCTATGCTTTCCAGCCAACTTTAATCTTCAAAAATTTAAATGCAATGTCAATCACTATCTACTGTTCTCCTGATTACTCTTTCCTCTTCTTGCTCATTATTAATGTTTCTGTTCCTAATTCTCCACAACCTGTTGCTCCTTGTGTCACAGCGGAGTTACATTGATTAAAAGAAAAAGAAAAAGTTGTTTTTTTTTAATGAAAAAACCCAAATCGCTTTAAATGTGGAATCAAAAGTTTGCCTTCTCATCATTTGCAGTCATTGAAAAGTATATTTTTGATCAATATTTAAATAATTTTACTCATATTTGTTTTGATATTCTTTCTCTTAAAAGGTAATTACTTTCTGAACATCATAAAATATTAGTAATGCTTTAGCCAGATTTTGAAGCTTAACATTTTGAAGATATTTCATGCAAAAAAGGGGCAGAGTTAGTATCATGCTATAATTTTGTGATTAAATTTAAGATATACAGAAAAATTTAATTTTAAACAAGCAATACATTAGTAAAATTTTGGGATGGAGCTATTAACTCCTGAGAGTCTGGTTAGTAAATTACTCCTTAAGACTTTCCAATAGAGAAGATTTAGCATGTTTGTGTGTTTGCAGAGAGTTTATCCAGGGCCAGTGCAAGGATCTCATGGCCCCCATTGGATCTATGATACACTCCCTAACCAGAATCTATGATACAGCCACCCCCACTCTACTACATCTCAATTATCATAAGGTAGTATTCATATAAAATACAAATTTTATTGTAACCTAATTAAGTACAATAATGGATCATTGGTGAACAATTCAACTAGAAAAATTGAAAATAAATTCAATGTATTAAATTACAAATTAGGGACATGTCATAATAGATCTCATATTCACTGACATTATTTTAATCTCTGGAAAATTCCCATTGTTGTATTCTTATCTTAAATAAATCAACAACGTTTTGTGGCAACTTTTAGCATCAACTTGATATTTTACTTGTTAAAAAACTGAATAATTTTAACACATTCAACATTATGGATAAAAAATAGTGAATTTTATATAACATTTTTTTGCAGATCCATGGAGTTGGACATCCACCTCTCCCTAGAATGACATCAAAATCCATTAAGATTTTTCACCCTTTAATAGTCAATTGTACTTAGTTTAATTTGTAACATATATAAATGTTGGTAGAAAAAAAGCAAATATTGATAAGATAGAGAGAGTAACAAATCACTGCTGAGGGCTCCCATTTAATTGGTCATTGGGTTTGGAGGTAGTATGCACTGGCCCTGAATATTTCCAATGTTTTGGGGATTTTCTTTTCTGATATGTGTGAGTTTTCATATATCTAAATAGTATTTCTCAACCTTTTTTTTTTACTTCAGAACACATTTGTAGAATAACTAAAATTATGGGGTGTACTTTAAATTTTAATGAGTAAAAATTAGTCATGGAATTTCAAAATAGAAAAATAATACAGAAGTTTTCTGAAATAAGCATTTATTCTTAAGACAATATATTGCTTGGTATCTCTGCGTTTTTTAAAAATAAAGATCTGGCTACCTTTCTGGGTGCACCAGCATACCTGGGCACACCAGTTTAAAAACATTGATCTAAAGTATAATTAGAAACAATAATTTTGGAAAGTTACCAGATTTTCATATGAAATTAAGAAAATACAAAATTTAACTCATATCCTCCAAATGTCAGTTTAAACTGACACCTTTTTCTTTACATACAAGCTCTGTCTGAAAAATAACAGGACTGGGTGCGCTGTGTGAGCTCTGGGGTAAGGAGGGATAAGCGGATTGTGTTATCATCTAAAATGATATGTTGGGAGTATATAACTGTAATCTTACCTTTCTACAACCATTGCATTGTCACATGTGAGAGTTGTAGTAGGAAAAATTGTGGCTGCTTTACCATGACAATGGACCTGCTTATGATGCCATGAGCATTTGGCAGTTCCTGGCCGAGAAGAACCACACCATACTGGAACAACCTCCCTATTCATCTGATTTTGCTCTGTGTGACTTTTTTTCTTTTCCCCAGGCTCAAGGAGTTCTTCAAAGGAACCTGTTTTGAAGTCATGGAGGCCATCAAGCTGAGGGGCATCCAAGAAGAATCTTTCCATCAGTGCATAGAAACATGGCAGAGAAGGATGGATAAGTGCATTAGACTCAAGGGGGATTACTTTGAAAGGAGAAACTGTGTAGTTTGTTGTTTGGAATTGAAGTAAATTGTTTGTAACACCAGTCCCATTACTTTTTAGACAGAACTTGTATATAAAAACTATAATTATGGAAAGTGAAAATGTCACTGGAATATGTTGGAAAGTTACCAAGTTTTCATTTGAAATAAAAGTAAATAGAAAATTTAAACAAAATGGTCACAATATAGCAGAAAAGGAAGGGTTGAGTTCAGGCGTTAAATAAAATAAGGCATATACAGATTGATTTGTATGGATCAGTTAGGTGTCGTTAAATTTTTAGGTATCATTACTAAAAATTTCTAATAAAGAACAATAAAAATAATAACACTATGGCTGAACATAAAAGGCAAAGCAACATTAAGAATATTCCATCTACAATGACATTGCCAGGATCACCATCACAAGACTTGGTTAAAACAAAAGCTGATTCTACTGACATGGAAGGGAAACTAATCAGGAGGAGCAATATAAACATTGCAACTTTGCTTACATTTCTGATTATCATCTGAAGAGGTAGTTACATCTGTAAAAATTAAGAAGGGCAAAAAGCTTGTAAAATATTTCCTTTTTATTAACACAATCTCAACAAAGAAAGAAAGAAAGAAAGAAAATTCTAATTCTGAAGAATATTATATTTCAACAAATTTAATTTTTCTTCTCTTGAAATACATTTATAAAATTCAACGGTGGAAATCATCAGTGATGTTACCCTGGCTTCATTACAGATTTCAGGTATTGCAACATCAGATCTGTTCTGCCAGGTACCCTGACCTATTGACAGGCTGCCTCTCTGCATAATTTGCTCCACAATGCAATTTTAACAACAATTATTATATCAGGAGATAGATCTTACTTTTATAATGGCATCAAGATTTGCATTAGACAATCAGATTTTGTTTGTCTACTGGTGTAAGAACAATGGTGTGATTTGCATGTGCTTTAGAGTTTTGCCTTTCCTGCAGTTGCACCAATGTTATGGTAAGTCTTTAACATTTAATTAAACAAGAAATTCCACGTGGCATTAATTGCCGTATTATATTATGTTCTTCTAAGTTATTTTCTTAATAAGTATAACGAAGCAACATCTCTTTCATATTATTATCGAAACAATGTTTCGAATACTGTGCACTATGGCCTTCTTCAAATGTATGTTGATCTGGATAACCTTAAAGGAATGTCAAACTGAATCCTTTATTTAATCTACAGAGGTATATTCTTATTCTGATGAACATGTCTAGGGATATACCATTTAGTTCTTATTAAGTACTGCTCAGTTATTTCTCATTCCATTTTCATTCAGTCTGTGTCTCTATTGCCTGGTCCAGGGATTGAACCTACAATTACTGTCACCAAATCTACAAAGCAAAACTTTATTCCATGGACAACAAGACATGGAAAATGTTCAGATGAACTATATTCCTTAGTTCTACCAGTTCTAACCTTTACAGTCATGTGTATTGTAGTAAACTGTTTAGGTAAACCACCGCTAGTGGTAGACTACTTATACAGCATATTACCCACACTTACAATAGTGTCCAACGTATTTATGAAGATTGGGACATAGTGTTCATAGGTATGGTATATATAGCATAAAGCATCCTCATTCTCTTCATATTCCATTAGTGAGATTAAGTTCCACTCGAACAACTCTTTCACATGAATTGCTGCTTTGTGGAACCAACTCCCAAGAGGATGCTTCCCCGACCAATACAATCTTGATCTGTTCAAGTCTAGGATTAACGATTATCTTCCCCCACATATCCCTATAAACTGTACCTCTTACTCTGTAACCCTCAGCCTTGAGTGGCTCTTCGGCCTTGTAAAAAAAAAGAAAGAAAGAGAAAAATAGAATGGCAAACTTGAACCTTTATGCCTGCAAAAAATTAAGTGTCAAAAGGACATTTTTTTGCTCAACATTGCTATTATTTTAACTACCCTCACTCCTTATGAATATTTATTGTTTTAAAAAAGCAATGATTAGAATTGTAATAAAACCTAAACATATGATGAAAGTGTATTTATTGGTTCGATAAGATCAAATTGGCAGCTGATTTAAAAAAAATGTCCTATAATCTGTTCTTAAGTGGGGCATGTTAGTTTTTTCTTTTGTTTTTAAGCATATCTTTTTATAGACATATTTTTAGTTATGTCTGAATTTTTACATATATATGTCTGTGTATATATAAGAATGGACACTGAGGTGTTTACTTCAGTATCTATTTTAAAACTATATTTTTTATCATATATATATATATATATATATATATATATATATATATATATATATATATATATATTGTTTGAATAAAAACAGATCACTTTAGGTTCCATGCAATAAGTTATTTCACCAGAAATGCTATTAGATAGCATACGTTAAGTTAAGCAGCATCTAGCCTACACAGAGTGGGGTTAAGGATAAGGAATTGAAAATGGTACATCTAACTCACTCATATCTTCTCTCCCACCTCACTTCCTCACTTCGTTAATTTTACATATGCTTGGTGCAGTCCATCAAAAATGTGTAAGTTTCTTTTCATTTTTCATTTCAACCTTTGGAAGTAAAGTCTGATGATCCAGAGCCCTTTAAAAGGGTTGTGGTGAAATAACTTATTACATGGAACCTTAAAGTGATCTGTTTTTATTCAAACATATTTGCTCTGAATTTACATTGAGCTCTCTGGATATCATCCTCCTTGGGTCTACCCATACGGATTACCTAGTTTTGCATAAACTATATATATATATATATATATATATATATATATATATATATATATATATGTGTATATATTTTTTTTAAATATATTTTCCATTTATACATTATTCTTACAGATATAATTTATTTAAGTAAATGCTCTGTTTTTTTTTTATTAAGCAGTATTAATTACATTTACTGGCTTGGATCTTTGAGAAATTTTGTAGAAAATATGGGCTTCTCCGACAGGAATAAAACCTGTAACCCTTAACAGAAACTATCATTTGATCTGATGTGCTATCAACAATTCAGCTACAAAGAAGCATCTGGTTAACAAAGTCTGAATTTCTGTTTATAAACACACACCCTTGATGATTTTTCTCAATTGATCATATCTGCTTGCAAAATATATCTTAACATAAACAATGACAACATATTATGAAATGGATTAATTCCAACAATTATTTTAATCATTTTCCATTTATACAAACTCAGATCAATCCAACCAAATATATATATATATATATATATATATATATATTGTTATATATATATATATATTGAGGCCTGGTTGCCTAGTGAGTTTTTTTTTTTTATGGTCTGTGTCATATGACCAGACTCCCATGTACAAGCATAGTTGATACATCTTTAGGATATCAGTGGTTCTTGACAAGGTTAGTAATGGTAGAGAATGGATGTAATTGTAAATACGCAGAAGTTTGACTTTCGCTGTCACTTATAGTTGACAGGTGGAGATTCTGGAAGAGTTCATGACGAATGCTTATTGATTTTGCTTTTTTGGAAGAGAATCTTGTATTATGTAGGAAAGTCGGAAAGGTTGGGCTAGGATTGAGTCAAGGATGATGAAAGTTAGATTCAGGCAAAGAAGTTGACTGTAAAAGGTCTACTACTAAAGTCTAGGTGTTTGAGCCGTTTGGTGAAGAGGGAGAGACAGAAAATGTGTCTTCCTGACTTGATGCCTGCAGATTGTCTCTCGCATGTGGATAAATATTGGCGGGCATCCGATAAGCCATGTGACCTTTGGCGGCAAATGCCAACCATCAAACCACTTTGAATGGGTGTCCATTCCAAAATGGTCATATGCCTTAATGTTGAAAGTGTTGGGTCATTACTCAATGGGTAGTAACGGTGATGAAGAAAAGGGAAAGAGAAAAGGTTTGAGGCAACCATTGATGGAAGGTGGGGTGGGAGTGTCAATTATATACATATATATATATATATATATATATTTATATATACACATACATATATATATGGAACAGATTATATACAAATTTTTATATCAGACTAAGGTGGGTAAACAAATGAGAAAATGGAAAATTTCTTTGTGATATGTTTCATTTCAAGAAGGAATTCCTTCAGAATAATAAGAATAATAATGTGTTTCTTGATGGAGTCAGTCATATATATATATATGCTCTAGTACAGAACTCTATAGACCCAGTATTGTTAAGCACTTTCTTTGCACTATGTTCCTTGACTGAGGTCTAATTTTTCCTGTATATTTGGACCCTGTTTATTACACACTGATAAATTTTATTATTTTCTTAAAACAGTTGTTCAAGAAGTAATTTTATGTTAAAGTAATTACCAATACATTTTTATATTAAAATAATGCCCAATGCATTTTTATAGTAAAACCTTTTGCAATGCACTTTTATAGTAAAATCAGTTTCAATGCATTTTTATAGTAAAATCACTTGCAATGCATTTTTATAGTAAAATAATTTGCCAAGTATTTTTATAATAAAATTGTTTGCAATGCATTTTTATAGTAAAATAATTTGCCAAGTATTTTTATAATAAAATTATTTGCAATGCATTTTTATAGTAAAATAATTTGCAAAGTATTTTTATATTAAAATAATTTCCAATTCATTTTTATATTAAAATCATTTCCAATGCATTTTTATAATAAAATCAGTTTCAATGCATTTTCATAGTAAAATCAGTTTCAATCCATTTTTATAGTAAAATCACTTGCAATGCATTTTTATAGTAAAATAACCTGTAATGTCATTTTTATTGTAAAATCATTTGTAATCTATTTTTATAGTAAAATCATTTCCAATGCAACTTTATAGTAAAAACATTTGTGATGTGTTTCTATATTAAAGTCATTTGCAATGTATTTTTACAGTAAAATCATTTGCAATGCTAACATTGATGATGAGCTTTGCTGTTTCCATAAAAGAAACATTTAGCATTAATTGACAAAAGAGTTAGCATTAATGTTGGTTGAAATTTATAAAATATTTCTCTTAAAAGAATTTGAGAAAAATAGGCTTCTCAAGTCCCCTAAATATTATAGAGCTTTCTACTATTGATAGGAGTTTCTTTTCTAAACTTTTGTTTAAGGTAGTGTGGAAGGCTGACATTTTCATTATATTATTATTTTCCCATTTAGTTACATGTGTTACCCAGTTTAGATGTTGCTTCTGTTGGAAGTTTTAAAGTGATGTGATTTTTGTTATTTAGTAAAAATCTTTTTTATTTGTGAACATATAGCATCCGTCTATGAGATCTGATGACAGATTGTTTTCTTTATGATCTACAGGATTCATTTGCTTGAAGACATTTTAAATTATCAATTTGAGAAAGCAGTTGTATACGGCTGATAGTTGAGATGTTTCTGAAAAGATTTCTAGGAATTGTCATTATCTGCAACTATTGTCTAATGCAGTGGTCACCAAACCTTTTTTTCACAGAGGACCAGATAAGTGAGAGAATGACGAGTGTGGGCCGGATAACCATTTTGTTTAATACAATACACTGAATGCCCCAAAAATAAAGACAACAAACATACTTATTTACTAAAATGTTATCTAAGAAGGTGACAATAACAATAAAATAGTTATATCACACCAAGTGTGCACGTATCTGAATCTCACTAACTAAGCAGCACAAAAGGTTAGTAAGACTTGTGAAACTGGTGTTTACCTTTTAAGATATAATTAATATTTGTTTTGGCATTGCTGCATCCAACTAAGAGAAATGCTTTCAAATGTTCATCAGTCAACCTCATTACATGTGCTGACTTTACATACTTTAGATTTTATAATGATTTCGGGTAAAATATATGACATAATTTGCTGAAGTCAGTCCTATTTATATACGGCATTCTTTAACCGGTTTAAACATGGCAATGCAAGTTAAAACCTAATTGCTGCAGCAGGCTTGTAATCGCTTTTCTTAGAAACTTCATTGCAGGTATTTACACAAAAAGCGGTCAGATATCAAAAGTTTCAAAAGTTGCCAAATTTTTTATTTCACTGATTTTCCTAAAACTTTTATTACTGTCAGATGCAAAAATCAGATTGGCCAAATTTTGGTATTTTACATTTATTTTAATTTTTCCTACATAGTAATTTTAACTATAATCTATTGATAATTCCATATAAATAATTATATTTTAGCTCATTTGTCACACATTGAAGTGGCAGACCAGATGATCTGACATCAGGGGTCAGATCTGGCCTGTGGGCTGTAGTTTGGTGACCCCTGGTCTAATGGACCAAGGTCTTGAAGATGAGTGGTTTAGTCCAAAGAAATTTCCTAGAACTAAAAAGAATGTCCCTGAAACTAAATCATGAAAATTAAACAAATGGAAGTATTTTGAAAGTACAATTTAACTAAATTTTCAAGTTTCCAACATCAGATATCCAAATATTTAAAATATTTCAGAAAAATAATAAGTGTTAGAGCAGAAAGGTAAGAGATGGCATAATGGTTATCAGTGAAAAGAAAATGGAAATAGCACTAAATGTTGTAAGTCATGAATCCACTTTTTTTTTGTATTCTGACCAACTGGCAAATATCTTGAAAAAATTGGTCTAGTCACACATATGAAAATAGTTGAGGAATAAAAAAGTATGTGAGTAAGTGCTTGGGCAAACCACTTTCCCATAAATACCCCTGTGACCAACATCAGCTGTTATAAATGTTATCAACCTATGTCAAAAATAAGATAACAGATATTTCAAAAAATACAACTATGTCTTAAAATAGTGGGATTTGTATTTGGAAAATCATTGTTATTTAAAAAAACTGATAATGCAATATTCACTTGCAGCAAAAAAAAAACATTATGTGCAAATACCCTTGGCAAAGGTATGAATCCAGCTCCCCCCAGCTATGGGTTAAATAGCAGGAGTTGTATCTAGAAAAAATCATTGTTATTAAAAAAAACTGCTAATGCAATATTCACTTGCAGCAAAAAAAAAAAAAATGAATTATTCTTAAAATGCAAAATATGTTTTGGCTTTAAATAATCCACAAAGTGTTGATAAGCCATAAAAAACAATCATTATAAGAATCAGATTAGACTAAAAATGGAGTACTGCTGCCATATCTGGGCTAGAGCTTCCCAGTTCTTGCTTTCCAGTCTTGATGGAGTTCAGAAATGTCTTCACAGCCTTGTGGGTGATGAATTATTTTCCATTCTATAGCCCTTATCCTGTAGACAAAAACATTGCAAGTCTCTTGCTACTCTATCACTATTTCTGTGGCAAAGGTTCTGATGAGCTACATCCCTTAGTTTCACCAGTTCAGACATTCACAGCTAAGACCCATCATACCATGTAGATTGAAACAATTCATCTCGATGTCCTTTGTATTCCATTGGTAAGGAGGAAGTTCCATTCAGATAAATTCTTCCCAAGAACTACTACTTTGTGGAACTGACTCCTAAGAGAATGCTTCCCCAATCACTACAATCTTAAACTCCTTAACTGTTATCTTTCCTACATATCATGCATCGCATCAAACTTGTTAGGAAATGTCTAAATCAGTGATTCTCAATCACTGTGAGCCAACACACTAGTGATCCTCTTAAGTGTACTGTGAAATATTGTCACAGCATACATATATATGTGTGTGTTTGTGTGGAGTGAGCACAGAAAGGTATGAATAGATTAGAAATCCCTTCATAGATGTTCTATCTAATATTGGACTTCAGTTGTGTGAAGAAGAAGAATTGACCACCATTTCTAGTGATTGAGGGCTCTGGTGATTTTACTGTGGCTTGGTATATTATGTTGTTTTGTAAGCAATTACCATTTAAGGGACATTCCTTCTTTATTCTACAATTACATGTGGGTTTAATTTGTTCGGATGATTTGTTGATAGTTTTCCTGTTGTGCTTTTTTATTATTTGTGCCATATTCTAGGTGCAACTGTAGCTGATTTTTACAGTGTTTTTATTGAATATTTTGCGTAGAGTGCTCATACTCACACAGAGCACAAAAATGGCCAACAGGAAGATAAATATCATATGGTTCAACCCACCATACAGCAAAAAACATAAAAACAAAATATAAGGCAAAATATTTTTCAAACTCTTAAACAACACTTCCTGGAATCAAGCACTCTACACAAAATATTCTATAAAAACCCTGTTCTAGTGTGAAGAAGAATTAGCTACCATTTCTCGTGATTGAGGGCCCAAAATAAAACATTCAACGGTACCCATTGATACATTTTGGATTTCAATACAAAAGGAATATCCCACATTAGCTAAAAAGACTTTAGCAGTTTTATTTACTTCTTATTTATGTGAATTAGGCTCCTTAACCCTAAATAACATCAAAAATAAGAAGCGAGTAAGACTAGAAACAATGGAAGAAGAAATGAGAGTCTGTTTATCGCACATTCGACCAAACATTGAAGAAATTGCGAAAAAACACAAAGCACAAGTTTTACACTAAATAAGCTGCACAAATAGTTGAATAGCAACATTGAAATAAAGTAAATTCATATTTGTGTCTGTATTTTTTTAAAAATCTATGGTTTTATATCATAACATCTAAATGTATACCCTTTAAAACTTTTGCTAAGTGTGCCATGACATTTTCATTTGTTCCTATGTTGCTTAAAAAGGTTGAGAAACACAGGCCTAAACTATCAGCAATATGCAATTGTTTTCATAGATCAATCATTAAAAATAGCTTCAAGAAAATGAATCTTTGAGGTTTTAAGGAAGGCCTTCATCAGACCCTATATATTGGCACTACTGAATTACAAAGGGCTTTAACAAATTATAAAATTGCATCAAAGGCAGTGACAACTAAAGTGGACAGTACATGTAACTAAAAGGGAATATAATGATATAATTAAAATTTAACTTTCCACACAACCAAAAACAAAAGGCTTGGAAGGAAACTTCTATCAATACTAGAGTCATAACCATGAAGTTGAGAAATCTAATTTCCTGAAAAACTGTTTTAGCATGTTAGCTCCCAAGCATCATTTCCCTTGTTGTCCCAGGGTCCTAACACTATATCATGATTAATTTTGGTACAAGCGACTTTGTTTTAATGTTGTTTCATATATGAGGCAAGTATATCATAGGTAGCATTTATTACCCACAAAATACTAGTGTGTCTTTTGGCACCTGAGTTCATTTTACAACCAAGAGTCTCACATGAATGTATGGTATGAACCCAAAAATCAAAAGTAAAAATTCCAAAATGAAAATGAAATAAAAGACAAAAAAATCAAAAATATTAAAATTGTTTTGGAAAAAAATGTGGTTCTGATGCACCATGATCTCCTAAATAATCATAGCATTCCATTCCCAATGTTTCTCATAGGAAAGATTGTAAATTTAACTGATTTGACCACAGAAGAGCGTTCGGTTAGCAAGGTCAAATAAAGGCACATCAGGCTATATGATGGTTCAGTATAGGATACAGGTTTGATTCCTGTCGGAGGACGAATATTTTCTATGAAAATTTCTTGGACATTCAGGCCGGTAAATGTTGTTTAATACTGTTTATTATAAACAGAGCATTTACTTAAATATTTGTATCTATAAAAAGAATGTATAAACATAAAAAATGTCTTATAAATAATTGTCGGACTTTGTCCATTTCATAATGTGTGACTAACAGTTTAGTTAATGAATGCTGATAGTTTTCTGTATAGAAACAGCTTATTTAATCATTATCGTTACTGTGTTACATGATATCCGTAAAAGCATCAAAGAATCCTTGACCTGACAAAACAATATTCTCCATTGACTGTTGTGACATATCAGTGACAAGACTATTGCCAAAATATCTACAGGTGGGACAGAGATCATGGAAAAGTGGTTTTATATCTTTCTTAAAGTTATTAGTGCAAAGTAAACAGACAGTCTTAGCTGTAATTTCCTCTCAATTTGCCAGTTCTATTTTTCATGCTTATAACCATTGTGCCACCCTGAGTCTTCAAAGATTAGAAAGAAGAAAGAAAAAAAAAGACTTACCATCACGTACAAATATTACTGAGAGAGCAGTGGCTGTGGTAAGTAGCACTCCCATGAGAACCACAATTAAATATTTTAAATACTTAGTCTTAAAACATCCATTTCTGGACATATCTTCATTTCCAGGAGGAGGGATTACATTTGTGACAGTAAGATCCCTGCTAATGTCTTTTTGAGAGTCTCCTTCAAATCCATGGTTTTCTTGACCAATCACATTGCAACGATTCTCATAGTAATTCTGTATGGCAAGTTTCGGGTTACTACTCACATAGATATTGGTTTTGACATCAGCTCCACTTGGAACATCAAAACTTTGCTGGTTTTTCTGAAAAGTAAGAACAATAAAGAAATGCAATAAACCAGGAAGCAAATTTTAGACGTAGTATTCAACATTTAAATTGGTAGTAATAATGGTGTTACTATTGATATATTATTTACAAATCAGTTACAAATGCATGCTAAAATTTCTAACCCGTGACAATACATTTCTTATAGTAAATTATTTGCAATGTAATTTTACAGTGAAATTGTTTTCAGTGCATTCCTAGAGTAAAATCATTATCAATGTATGTACATATATACAGGGTGTCCCAAAAAATGTATACACACTTTAAAACATATAAACTAAAGGGTGTATATATTTTTTGGGACACCCAAATTAAACTAAATTAAATTATTCAAGCTTATTTAAAATTATTCAAGCCGGTTTTACCAAAATGTTTAAATGAAAATAAAGTTGTTAATTTTATTAAAAATACAGTAAAATTTAACTAATTTGTTTTTATATTTAATCAATTTTAAAACTTTAATATTTTAATTTATTTACTGAACATTTTAATGCAGTTTTTATTTTGTGATTAACAACTATTAATGATAACAATGTTAAAAAACATTTTCATTGAGATGGTTTTAAATTTTTTCAGGACGTTTAAATTTGTTTTTCCAGAGTGTTCCATGATGATACTGAAAGCACTTAGTCTAGAGCCTTGATGAAAATTCTGAAAGATTTGTTTTGTAAAGCATAGAAGGTATGGTTGTCAATAAAAGGAACAGCCAAAGATGCAAACTATAAATTGGAGTCACCAAAATCAAACAAGTACAAAAATGTAAATATCTAGGAAGTGTTTTAAGAGAGGACAGAAAATGCAACACTGAAATCTGAAGGTACTTTTGGAATAGTGAAAGATGCTTTCCAGAAGCTAAGCAAAGTATTAAGAAACAGGAAAATTTCATTAGAAACAAAGAAAAGAGTACTGAACTGTTATGTAATATTGGTTTTCCTATGTTGCAAGGGAATGCTGGACAATCTCCTCATAAATGAAGATGAGACTTGAGGCAACAGAAATGTGATTCTACAGAAGGATACTGAGAATTCCATGAACTGAAGATGTGAATGTGAGTTTTAGCAAAAGTGGAAATAAAATGGATGCTTATACTTAGAATCAGAAAGAGACAATTGAAACTTTTAGAGCACATAATGAGGAAAGAGGGCTTGGAGAATATGACACTTACAGGGCATATAAAAGGCAAGAGGGAAAGAGGAAAACAGTGAATAACCAACCTAAGGAATTTGTGTAAATAGTTGGCAGAATGGGAATTAGAAGAGATAGTAAAAAGACAAACCTTACTAAGAGCTACAAAAAACAGGAGGTTGTGGAGAGCCATGATTGCTCACGTCCTGAAGGGACATGGCACATAGAAAAAAGAAGACCTGTGATATCATGGTTGTATAAACAGCTAATTTAAATAAGATTAACTGATTGTGCCACTGATTCACACATCTTAATTTCACTCTCCAGCGACAATCTTATGACCTTCACTCGTTCAATTAAATGTTTGGAATCCCGTTATACTAGCTTTGGATATATTGTCTAGTCAGCTTTTGATTATCTGCTGTGAATAGTAGCGCTACTTTTCAACTTAACAAGGAAATGGCTTTATAAAAAAGTTGTTTTTTTTTACATTTACTTTATTTTTTTATATATATATATCACTTTGTTATATTTGCTTTCAACTAAGATGAATCTCTAATAAAATAAATAGAAAAAAACTTATTGAAATAAGATATCCCAAAATGTTCATTTCTGCTTGTTTCATTACATTTAGAATTTTTCATGATTTTTAATTGAATTTTTTTGAAATGCTTTGTCTCATCAGCACATAGGCAATCATGTCTACCCATAAATTCATTTTTTTTAATTTATTATCTGTAAATTGCCATTGAGAAAGAAGTGAAGTGGTGTCCTACTGTTTTCTCCACTTTTTTAAATTCAGATATTCTCTTAGATTTGTTAACACTTAAGGCTAGTGAGTACAGTATATTCTATTATTTAACTTATACATAGAGGGAGAAATGGGTTCATGCCTTTCCAGACTGATACAAAACATTATAAATATTATGAAAGGAAATATAGTTTGGTTGTATTAATAAAGGTATCATATTTGATTTTCAAGATTTCAAGACATTTTTTGATTTTCAAGATTTCAAGATATATATATATATATATATATATATATATATATATATATATATATAAATGAACATAGTTTTAAGGTGTGCTATATTTATGGGATAAAGTTCTCAATATCAGAGACAGAGCGTATGCAAATATAAATATAAAAGTGAACATTGAAGTCAAAACTCAGAGGCGACAGACTGTTTTTTTTTTCTAGCATGAAACAGCTTGTCACCTCTGAGTGTTGACTTCAATGTTCACTTTTATATATATATAGAGAGAGATAGATAGATAGATACACAAATAGCACAACATTATCAAAATATATATGGAGACAAAAAGAAAATAATATGCCTACTATAGTTAAATGGGGAATTATAAAAAAGTACCCCCATATAATAACCAGTAGGAATTGTAGACTGTGTTCAGAAGAAAAATTATCAATATTAACTTTTAATAATCAAATTAAATCATTAAATAAGACAAATGAAATATTTGGTTGATGGTGACATATTAACAAATATTTACTTTGTAATAATATAACATAATAAATCAATTAAAATATTAATTAGTAAAACAAATACAACATAAAATATTATAATTTAATCAATAATACAAATTAAAAAATATTACAGTTTAATTGATAATATAACATAACATAACAACTTCTATATAGACCATAAAAAAAATAAAATTTAATTTCGAAGAAAAATTTAATTTAAGAAAATAAATAACAACTGGAAGAAAAATCTACAGCTGAAAAAATGAAGATGTAAACAAAAAGCAAAATTTGATGAACATGCCCATGCAAAAGAATGTTAAATTCATGAATATACATGTGTACAAAACAGAGTAAAAAACTGATTGAAAAAGACGTGGAACAAATAAAAAAATGGAAAAATTGGAAATATCATTTAAAACCAGAACCTCCTGAAGACCAGAAATTTTATCAAGAAACTTTGAAGTTGGCAAAAATTGATATTTAAAAGTTAAGTAGTCTTTTTATATAATATATATATAAAACATTATTATTTTTTTAATTTGAAACTTTTTCTATATATATATATATATATATATATATATATATATATATATATATATATATGCATGTGTGTTCATGTATGTATGAACATATTCACACATATTTTCATAAGGATATTTACATACCTATGTAAATGACACACACACACACACACACACACATATATATATATATATATATATATATATATATATATATATATATATATATATATGGAGAATAGAGATAGATAAGACCACGTTTACATTATATATATGTATATATATAGATATAAAAGTGAACATTGAAGTCAACACTCAGATGCGACAGGCTGTTTTTTTTCGTGTTAGATGCAATCGTCAGGCCGGCCCTAACGATTGCATTTTACACGAAACAGCCTGTCGCATCTGAGTGTTGACTTCAATGTTGACTTTATATTTACATATGCTCTATCTCTGATATTGAGCACTTTATCCCATAAACCTTAAAACTATATATATATATATATATATATATAGATATATACATATATATATATATATAAAAAAAGTACTTTTACAAAGTTTGGGGATGGATTCCTCTCACCAAAACAAAAACAAAAGTCCATTTATTAAAACTTCGTCAGAGATTGAGATAGAAATGAAAAAAGCAAATATACAGAGTACTGGTATGTTATTATTTTTGTTTATTTCTCATTGGTCAGATATGTTTCACGTGTATTAAATGCAATAGGGAGTATATAAATATCTGTGAGGAACATTTTGGATGTTAAAGTGTATGATAGTGTAAGAGTGTGTATGTAAAGAAATACTTGTTTGTCTAGGTGTATGTTGGACAGTAGCATTAATTCGTGTGTGTGTGTATGGATTGTATCTGGAGGTCACCTGTGTGTATTTCGGTGAAATGTAGCAAATTGTTGCAATAATTTTGTATTTGGTTGGATTTTTATATTCGTGTATATGTGTGTAGGGAATGTCTCTGGTCATCACCTCTGTGCTGGTCGGTAAGATGCATCAAGATATTGTAATAATCATGTTTTGGTTGGATTCATCATTAAAGCATTTTTCATGCATATATTTTTTTAAAAAGATTTGTATATCTTCATTGTTTTATGTATTAGATAGAGATAAGTTAGATTAATGAATAATGGATCTGTAGAAAGATGGTGATATGCTGTAATGTTTTAAGTGAGTGTTTATAGTATTAATGCTATAAATATATTTTCAAAGCATTTTCTCCTTAAAGGTTTATGCTCTTTTTTAATTAGGCTTACATTAGAGAAATCAATGTTATGTTCTACGTCATTTTGATGTAAGATGAGAGAGTTAGAATGTCTGTCTAAACAAGTCTCTCTTGTGTTTGTAGATCTGAGGTATTAGATCATGTGATATCTCCCCCATGGAAATGTTTTTGCACTGTAGACACTTTATCTGATAAATTCCAGCATTTGAAATGGTGTTTGGTTTATTTTTCTTCCTGATTATATCCCTAAATGTCTTGGAGGTGGTGATAACAATCCTAGTGTTTGGGATGGCTAATTCATTTGTGAGTTTAGTCGAAAGGGCAAATTATGAATTT